AATGAATGGTTTCATTGTAAGCCACTGGTTGATCACTGATCTGGTGTTTGAATATTTTATGAGTTGTTTAAAATAATCTAACGTACAAGCCTCCTTTATTTATTTATTTATTTTTGGATTTGATTTGTTTCTTTTGCATTGAAGTGGTGGGTTATTTACTGTGCTAAATTTTCAGGTCTTATATTACAAGGACAGTTGCTTCCAGCAATCCACTTTGTTTCTATCCACAATGATTGTTTCTTTGACATTGCAATGCTTTCCACTGTAAGAGATCTTTTCTTCCTATTATGGTATATGTTTTTTTCTTATTTAATTACTTTGTATTCATTTTAGCAGTTGTTTTTAATTTTTCGGTGCTTATGTCCATTGTTCAAGTCTCTCTCTTTCCTATCCTGTCCAATTTTATTTTTCTTGCCTTGTCTTCTCCTCTGTCACTTGTTTCTCTTTTCTTTTCCTTGGTTATTTACAAGTGGTTTGTGTTGCAGGTAGCAACAGCTAGCCAATTTTTCATTTCTTACACGATTCGCACATTTGGTGCTCTCACATTTGCCACTATAATGACCACAAGACAGGTGAATCATATCTCTGCAAAATAATCCTTGAAATTTTTTTGTTCTCAGTTCTCATGTATCCATGCTTCTAATATATGGTTTTTTCTCTCTTTGGCAATGAAGTTGGTCAGCATTATGCTATCATGCTTGTGGTTTTCACACCCCCTTAGCAGGGAACAATGGATTGGAGCTGTAAGCTTCAACTCAAACCTAATTATATTTTGCCCTATTTTTGATTTCCTGAAACCCAATAACTCTGCTTTTATTACAATGATCAGGTCGTTGTCTTTGGTACCCTCTATGCAAAAAGCTTCCTGAGAAGTGCACCAAAGCCTTCACCTTCCCAACAAATGCAGAATGGAGCTTCTCTTCCAGTGAAGGGGAACCCTTGATAGTGTTTGGGTTACCAGTTGCCATAATATGTTGGACTAGGTACTGCCTCTAACTTTGATCAATGTGCAGCTTTGGTTTTGCAAGTGTAGAGCTGCAACCTACGAACAAGCCTTTGATGTGGTGAAATTGATCTAAGTATTGACTTTAGACCACACACACCACACACATGCATACGGATTCTAGAAGCAAGAAGTCTCATTGGAGGCCTACGACTCATAGAGATGATCAATCATAGACTAACTAAAGGAGCAAGGAAGTTTTTTTTCTCTTATATACTTTTTGGAATACACTACTCGAAAATGTATAATGCAACTGCGCAAGCAACATTTCGTTCAAGAGTAGAAATAGATGAAAAAAAAAAAGTTTTTCCCCTTGAAGGAATTTTCTTTTCCTATTTGAATTCCGTTCTGTTCACCCTGTATTTTCGAATCCAATCAGGTCTCGTAGAATATTTGGTTTTCTAGTTCGTTAGGGATGATGTATTTTTGACATTTAAGTGATTTTGATTCTTGTTTAACTTCTTATGAGATCTGGTCTTATTCTCTCCAGGCAAGTTTAGAAAGAAAATAGGAATGTATATGGTTTTATTGTTTGTCAATGAAATAGAAGAATATTGAATCTATTACGATTTAAAGAAACCTAAAGTAGATTGTAATTACAATTCAAAGAATATTTGGTTTTCTAGTTTTTTTTTTTGTTTTTGAAATAAGTAATTTGGTTGCTATTCCATGTAGACTTTAATTTCACATTACTAATGAATTTGTCTGAATAACTAGAGTAGTATCCTATCCTGTGTTTTAGGGGCTGAATTCTGACCTAAATTTTATTGTTAATAGCTCAATTTCACTCCAAAATCAGGTCTTCAAATATTATGCGCTCGAGTTCTTATCAATTTTTCGATTTGGAGAACGAATTGTGAACTTCTGAAAAAAGAAATTAATTATGCTAGCTATTTGCACCCGGAAAAAAAAAAAAACTGAAAAAATAAATAAATAAAAATGGTAGTTATTTTCACCCGAAGAAAAAAGAAAAAATAGTTATGCATTTTATTTCTTGTGGAAGTGTTAGATTGCTGATGTAAACCCAGTTTCTTTTGAACAAAATCACTATCGTTTGGCCAAAAAAATTGTTCAAAATGTATAAATAAATAAATTTGTTTTTTGTTTTGTTATAGGTCGGATTTTAAAGATTTGGACGTATGGACGAAAGTTGGGTACTCAGTCCACCAAGGTTTTTGGGGCCGGAAATATTTCAGATATTTAATAAGAAAGAACGCACACAACAGCAACAAAGTGGCTGTAGTTTAGTGGTAAGAATTCCACGTTGTGGCCGTGGAGACCTGGGCTCGAATCCCAGCAGCCACACACTGTTTTTAATTTTTCTTCAGCTTTTTAAGAGGTAATTCAATTTGTCTTTGGGATAAGGATTATATTGAGGAATTTACGAAAAAATATTTTCAGTGAAACTGCTAGTTGGAGGAGCTCGAGGGCAGTTTGGGCACTTTGGTTGACGACGAGAGTTCCAATACTTGCTCAAATACATTTTACCAGGTTGTTGTATGATTAGATAACCAATTGCCATTAGAGATAATTCAATTTGCACTCATACTTTTTATGTATTATTTAATTGTATTTCTCAGAATTCTATTGTATTTTTGGATGGCTGCTGGGTTTTGATTTTCCTTTAATTAGTTTTGATTTTTCAGTATATTAAAACTTAACACTGTTAAGTTTGAGGTTATTTAAGTAGGGATCCCGAGCCTCTACATTTACATGTTATGCATTTATTCGTATTTCGCAACATCTAAATCATCTACTTATCTAATATTTTAAATTATTATTTTATGAAGTATTCACAATTGACTTTAATATTTTAAATTATTTGGATATTAAAAAGTTAAAACAGTTCCATATGCACACCTTGTGACATGTTTTACGCAAAATTTAACAGACATAAACAGAAATGGGACATTAGCACTAAAATGAAAGTGGATGGTAAATTGCCAAAAAGGAATAAAAAAGTATTGGGGATAAGATTTCATGTGTTTGGATAAAAGGTATTCAACAAATATTATCAAACTGCGTTCAGTTAATATCTATACATTTTTTAAGAAATTTTAGGATTACATTCATAATTTAGCCAAAAAAATCACTAATCACAAAGGGTCATTACAATATTCGTACAAACTAGCCGGTTAATATCCATACCTAAAAATAAGATATTCGAATAATATGACAACTCATAAAAGGAAAAAGATATTATGATATGATCCTAGTAAAATAGAAGAAAAAAAGGTATCCCACTAAAAATAAAAAATAAATTTGAAGATTAGCCCCATGTTCATCCATCTCCTAGTCTTTGGATTAGTACATTACCTTATTAAATCAGGTCACTTCACCTCATCTCATACTGAATCTATTCCCAACTTTATTTTATCCTTTTGGTATTTCTTTATTTGCTTTTAAAAAGTCTTTTATTCTTTCCCAAATATAATTTATTTTAAACTGTTTACAAACAACATTAATGGTTTTTTATTTTTATAAAAACAAAAGTATAATTTTTTTTAAAATACAAATAATAGTCTAAACTTGAAAGAGAGAGTTTCTCACACACAAACACACTACTATTGTGTCATGAGAGTTTGAACTTAAGATCACTAATCTGAAAGTCAATGTCCCTTTTTACTAAGCTAGGCCATGTTAACAAAATAACATAAATTATTAAATAAGATAAAGCATGACATTTTACCGATTCTTTTCTTTCTCTTATCTATATTTTCATTTTCCCTTATTTATCTTTTCGTTGTGAACCTATTTATTGGAGCCCATAATGAAACCCATTCCTAATTATGCAACCTTATCTAAAGAGTGCTGCTATTTCCATCCACCTGTTCTATTTTCCCACCCACATTATCTTGAAAATTTTAAAGACAAATTTATCCCTTCATAAAATGACTTTTAAGGACTTATGAAAAATGATTAAAAAACAAAACAATTGCCTCGAACTTAAAATTAAAAAAAGTTAAAAAAAATCCTAAGCACAAAGATCAAACGTCAAATCCAAAGCACCCCTCAACCTCTCCCTCCTATTTTATCTCCATCCTAAAACCCTAACCCCAAAAGTTTTGAGCCAAAACTACGGATTTTTCATCAAAAACTAGAGTTTTCATGTACTCCTCCCATTTGTAGGAGAAGGCCAGCAAATCCCAATGATCAACATGGCAAAAGTCTTCTCCTCCCGCGAAACAAATCCCAATGTATTCAGATGCTCATGTTGAAAATATGTTCGATTAGTTTTGTTATGGTCGTCAAATCTCTCCAATTAGAGCAAACAATTGCTCTTTTCATCCATTAGATTAAAAAGATAAGATTGTGTTTTTTTTAAAATTTACATTGTGGGTGGAAAGATAAGATGGATAAAAAAATAGGATAGATGGCTGGAAATATTAGGACTATCTAAATTGAGGTACAATTGTTATTATAACACAATCTCTATAATCAAATATGTGAACTCTCTTCTTTCCAAATAAGTTATCGCTCCTATCCTATAATCATATAAACTCACATAATAATAAAAACTCATATGAACGTGTAAATATAGTAACGATG